CCAATAGTTTAGGCCTATAGCAGCATAACTAAGGGATGGTTCAGGACTCACCTGATCCAGCCCTAACTATAAGCTTTTTGATGCAATATATTTTCTGGAATTTGGTTAAGAAACCATTTATGGATTCGATAACCAGATGGGAGTGTCAGTTCTGGGCTAATCCAGTAAATGGACTACCTGACAAATCAAGATGCTTCTTAATATCCCCCATCATCACTAGTGATCAAGTGTTTAAGATTTATTTGATTCAAGTGTCTAGATGCTGATTGCACTAATTGTGTATTTGTAGCTGTGAAAGGTTCAAGAAATAACTTTCCAGCCTCTAGTAATGGTTACTGTGTGTGTTTGTGTAGGCTGAGCTAGCTGTCCACAAGAAGAAGATTGAAGAAGTGGAGAACTGGATAAGAGTTCACACAAACACATCAGAGGTACTTTATTCTAATAATTATTGATTTCAGTAACTAACTTGGCTCCCAGCCTAGTGTCCCTGCATTGTCTGTGAGTAACTGTAAGCCCAGCCGTGTGCTTTATGAGGGATAAGGATTGGTGTAACAGTGGAAATATGAAAATTCTATTCCGTTCCTTCTCACCTAATCTGTAGTTATTGTCAATCATACATTGACATACATTATTGTCAAGCGGCTGTGGCAGAGCGGGTCTTCCTAATCGGAAGGTTGTTGGTTCGATCCCCTGGCTCCTCCCGCCATATGTCAAAGTTACCTTGAGCAAGATGTGTATGTGTATGTATGTGTTAGTTTTACTTTGCCATCGCTGAGTGAATGTGCTTGAAAGGGCGAATGTAGCATGTAGTGTAAAAGCGCTTTGAGTGTTCGGAAGACTAGAAATTTTTTACATATTTCACCAATCCTAGAGTCCCTTTGTCAAGGGATGTTGATGCGACTCAAGCAAGTGAGCTAAATAATTGTTATGCTTGCTTCAGCTGAAGCAGAAGTTACTGGATGGGCCTCTCACACCTATCATCCTTTCTAAGTATAACATCAGGAGGGCTTTTAAGCATGCAGACACCAGGAAGGCAGCTGGACCAGATGGTATTAGTGGCTGGGTCTTCAAACTATTAGCTGATCTACAAGTGCCCCAAAAAATTATATGTATAAATGTATTACTATTCCTATTCTATTATCTTTCTCTTTTATGGGTCCTGTTTAGAGACCAAGTAAAGTCAAGAGCTAATCTTGTGGTCTGAGCTATTATGATCTTATACTATTAAAATTTTGTCTGTGGAGGCCTTAAATGAAGCTGAAGGTTCAGGTTAAGCCCAGCTGTTGTCATCTACAGGGTAACATCTTGCTGCTGACAGGACCATCAGGTTGTGGAAAGACAGCAACAGTCCAGGTTTTGTCTCAGGAGCTGGGCCTCAGGGTTCAGGAGTGGGCCAATCCCACCAACCTGGAGCCATACAGCAGCAGTCAGCATGGTGAGGACAAATCTTTACTGTGATAGCTGTTTCGTACCAGTCAGACATATCAGTAGGACTCAGACTAAGAGTTGGCATGAAGTAGTCATTAATATAAATGAGAATTACCTTGTTGATGAAAAACTGCTCCTCAGTGACCAGAAAAATGCCTTTGTTGACACTGGGTCAGAGAGGAGTTGATGCTGATGTATTGGATTTCTTTATTTTGAAAGGTGTATTTAATATATTGTCCAATCAGTTTGTAAATGGGAATGGTTGTTTTTAAGTACAGGTAGAGTTGAAAAGTTATATATGATCTCAGTATCTACACTATCTTGTGTCAGTTTACAGGCTTCTCCAACCAGTTTTTTTTCATTTGTTGTTGTGTCTGTAATTCTTTTGTCAGAATGGAGGATGAACGGCTTTTCCTTCAGCTCCCAGTTAGCCCAATTCCAGGACTTCCTCCTCAAAACCAACAAATACAACTGCCTGAAGATGGTGGGTGATGGAGGACCTACAGACAGGAAGCTCATACTGGTGGAGGTATGTACTGCACCTTCAACTGGAGCCACTGTTCTGTAATTATCCCAATTTGTCATTCCTATTCATCTTAGTAGCACAGTAAAAAGCCTGTAGAAGATGTCATGAGGAAAATTGCACAACCATGTTGTTCTCCCTTGTTTTCTGTGTTTTCCTCTTAAAGCCTCAACTATTTTGCAACAGTATTTGCATTAGCTGGAGCAGTGCCTACAGAAACTAGATGGCATCATTTTGTCTCTTCCATCTCTGTTCCGTCTGCAGCTGTATGTCCATCTCCAACATTTTAGTGATTTTATCTCTCTGAAATAGACCGGATACCTACTATTTATTGCATCCCTTAAAGATCCAGTGTGTAACATTTAGGAGGATCTATTGTCAGAAATTATTATTATTATTATTATTATATAATATTCACAGGTATGTTTTGAAAATAAGAATTGTTGTGTTTTCCTTACCTTAGAATGACGTTTTTATCTGCAGAGGGGGCGGGTCCTCTTCTTTGGAGTCTGCCTTGTTGAACCGCCATGTTTCTACAGTAGCCCAGAACAGACAAACTAAACGCTGGCTCTAGCTAGGGGCCTTTAGTGTTATTTGTACATTTTGCATCCACTGTAGTTTGTCCTTCATGCTTGCTTGAGGCAAGAGGTTTCAGTTTCTTGCTATCTGCAATCTCACTGTTAGAGGTCAGTATTTAAAATTTTTATACCAAGCATACTAAAATATACCAATCATAGGTCAGAACAATTCTAAAAGCCAGAAGTGGTACTAAAGAGCCAACTCTTATTTCTGAGTTGACCTAAAGAGTCATAATTCCAATCACTACACACCACTAGATGCCACTAAATCCTACACACTGGTCCTTAAAGTACCAATTTTATGTACTTTTACTTTGCTTGAGTCTTTTCTTTTCATGCAACTTTATACTTTTACTCTAGTGCAGTTCAGATGAAAATAATGTACTTCTTACTCCACTACATTTATCTGACAGCTTTAGTTACCTTACAAATAAAGACTTCTGCACACAAAACATACAAAGAGTTTATAAAATATAATGGTTTGTTATAAATGTTATAATAGAAGATGAATTGAATGAAATACTATTTTGTTATATCTTTTATACAATTTTTCATACAAAAACATTTCTTGGTTCCAGCTTTATACATGTTCTACTATGGTTGGACAAAACAAGCATCTCATTATTTCAGAATTTCTCACTCTCAATAAAATTTCTTCTTTTCAGATGTTACAAAAACTAGTTTCACAACTACAGTAAAATACTTTTAATAATAATCCTATTATATAATACATAACAGTCACAGGTGACATTTTTGTGCATAGTGAGTACTTTCTGATCATACTTACATACTTTTACTTAAGTAATCAATACAGGACTTTTCCTTGTAATGGAGTATTTTTACATTGTGTTAGTAGTACTTTTACTGTCAAGGATTTTAACCACCACTGCTTTCCTACCAATTCTAACCATTTATTACCAGTTCCCTGTGCCAGTGTCTCTGACTGAACTATGGATGTTTTCAAAACTTTAACATCGTTTGTTGCACACTTAGTCATGCATATTCAATGTTAAGAGAAAAGCTTTTTTAAACCAAGTTTTCAGGGGATTTAAGTGCACAAACACTGAAAACTGTCTTCAGTGTTTGTCCCTGCAGTAGTCTTTCATCCTTATTTTTCATCCCACGCTTTTAGCCCCCGCTCTATGGCTGATGGCTGGGAAGAGGCTGGGGTAGGGTCCAGGGACCTTAGATCCTCCAGGAAAGGCATCCATAGGGAATAATGTTCTCATGATGCTGTGTTTATCATTCAGAGAGAGAAAGAGATAAAATCTGAGAGACATTTATTGGAGGGCAAAATCATACTGCCGTATATAATGTCACACTGTGAGTCATCTGTGACCTGACAACCTCATGACATTCTGAGCGCAATCAGCAGTGCTTGATGGATGCTAAGCAGAGGCTTCTCTCTGCTGTTTGCAAACACCCACGGACACACATGCATTTTATGTGTCACTCAAATTAACCTCAGGTGGAAGCGTCTGCAATTAGCGGATACAAATATTGAGCTGGTAATCTCTAATAATAAAGAAAACCCCCCTGTACTTAACTCCAAATGTACTTGAGTAATTCAATGTGTTAATGTTACGCTACTTTATACTTCTACTCCACTACATTTCAGAGAGTAACATTGAACTTTTTAGTTACTAGTTACTTTTCACATTCAGATAATTAATACCTAATTATGTTGTATCATTATAGATTAAGCAACCCAGCAATATGTAAAGTAGTTGAAATTAGCCTCACCTTTATTAGCTGTGTTATTAGTGATGCTTACATGAATGCATCACTATTTTTAATGCAGTAATCCAATTTAAATAATTCTTAAATGAAACCTTCTGCATGATGAATACTTAGTCTATTTTGATGCTAATATTTTTGTGCTTTTAGTCGAAAACAAATGACTGCAGTATTAATTCTAACTGGGTATTTCTACACTGTGGTTTGACTGCTTTTATCTGAGAACTTCTTCCACCACTGGATTTTGGACGTATGCCTGTTCTCATGTGGTCAAGGGGGTAACAGAAGACTGGGAAATGTTCCAAGAAAAAAATTCAAAACAGTGAATGTGTGTGGCTTTCAGTCGAAACTCCAAACTCCAGAGACTACGCTCACAGCGAAGTTGTGAGTTGGAGGAACTTTGGAGGCACAGACTGCAGACTGGGGCATCTGGCATGGCAGCAGAGCTATAGACAGATTGGAACCAATTAAAAAAAAGAAATCCTGTTAAAGTGTGGCATTACAGTAGTACAGGCCCTAACTACTTCCATCTGTCTGCAGTCCAACTCTAGCTGTATGACTCACAGCCTTACTGACCAAAAACTACTGTGGGAAACGTACTGTAAGAAAAGAGAAGAGAAAAGAAGACATTTGGAGAGAAAATAAGAAAGTGTTTCAACCTACACACACCCACACAACCATAGCAGTTTAATACTGCAACATTTCTCACACAATGAAGCTCCACAACTGGACAATTAGTCTTGGAAAAGCTAAGTAGATCCATGTGTTGTTGTGCTGAGTATCCTGCCTGCAGTCTATACTGGGCCTCCACCTCCACAAACGTGATGAAATAGGTAACGGTACATTCAAGTGCAAAGCTGTACACGCAAGGATATGAATATTTTATGAAACAGAATATTTCACATTCCAAAGGCCACATAGAAGATTTAATGAGGGCTGTAATTCCAGGCATTCCTAAAATCAGTTTTAGAGTATTTCTCTGGAAATACTTAAGTTAAGTGAGACAGCTGACTCCCATCTTGTTATGTTTCTCTCTCTGACCTTTGTCCTTTCTGTGGTTGATTATACAAAAAAAGGGGGGGAAATCAAGAGATGAAAATTAAAAACAATAACTAGAACTTGAGTTTAACTTTCTTTTGCTATAGGCTACACGCACACATGTGCCAACATAGGTGCTGAGAGATATCTTCACACTTTTTCAGCCCCCTGCCCTCAGCACTCACTGCCTGTCTCATCTTTCTTTGTTTAATTTCTTACTTCCACACCTTGTCTTTTTATCAAAAGGACGATGAGTCTCCACTGTCTGTTTTTGCAGGCTGTGCCCTTTTTCCTCAAAGACATTTCTTATTTCTGGGTGTGAATATGGTTGACATTAAATCTCCTGATAAGGGAGTTGTTTAATATTGTAGTAAATATTCTCTGGGCTGCCAGGTGTTGAAAGAAAATAAGTTATAACATCAGACATCTAAGCTAGCAGGTGAACTTCACCAGTCCACTCTGGTTCATTTTGTTATCATTATTTTTAGTTTAATCCACACTTAAAGACATTCAACACGACGATAGGCAGGACTGTTTTTACAAGACTACTGTTAGCATAGCATATATTAGCTGCATTTTAAGCATTCAATTATAACCTGATTCTGCAGTAGCCGCTAACTCTACAGCTCTATCGCATGTTTCAGCTCCTTGTTTTGGTTTTCTGGCCTGCAACTTCACTGTTTACTGTTCACTCTCACTGCACTTAAAGGTCCAGTGTGTAGGATTTAGCTGTAAGGTTTCATATTGCAATGCACCTCGTCCCCTTCCAAGCATAGGAGAAACTATGGTGGCTGCAAAACACACGAAAGACCCTTCCTAGAGCCAATTTTTGGTTTGTCCCTTCTGGGCTATTGTAGAAACATGGCGGTTCAACATGGTGGATTCTGTGAAAGAGGACCCTCCATTTGAAGATAAAAATGGCTCATTCTAAGGTAACGAAAACACAGCGCTTCTTAATTTCAGGTGATTATACACTGATGAATGCTATACATTACATCCCATTTCTGCCATACTCTGCAAATAGATCCCTAAAGTGCTATATAAATGCAGTCCATTTAGCAGGGGGAAGCAGCTAGCCTGGCTCGTTCCAAAGTATGACGCTGACTAATGAATAAAATCTAATTTGTTTAATTAGTGGTTTAATTGTAATAATTGTAGTTTATTTACTGTTTATTTGCGGAGGAGCAGTGACTTCCCGGAGTCTTGTAATTAAAATAATGCAATGTAAAGACTAATTTCTGCTTGTGTAGATTAACATGTTACACAATGATCTCCAGAAGCGTTAGAAGACTCAAACTAGCAATTTCCCTCTGTTTCCATGCTAAGCTATAGGCTAACTGCCTGTTGGCTGTAGTTCAATACTCAGTGCACAGACATGAGAATGGTATCAATCCTCTCATCTAACTCTTGGCAAGAAAGCAAATAAACGTATTTCCCAAAATGTTGAACTATTCCTTTGAGATTAAAGTATTTCCGTCATGCTCTGAGCAAAACTGTTGAGCAAAAACCTTTCAAAACAGAGACAGAAGCGAGTGCTTTGCTGTGGTTTTACACAAATTCCTCAGATTTGGATGGCCTCATATACACCCTGCCGAGGAAATGAGACAAACACACTCGTACGCATGCACGAACAAACACACGCGCGCACACACACACACACACACACACACACACACACAGTCACAGAGTAAAGTGAGCCCAGAAATTCTTTTGTCATGGCTCCAGTGATAGCTAAATCCTGTGAGCCCTTCCTCTGTCTCTCAACTCCCTCTTTCTGGCAGAGTGCTGACTCATGCTCTCTCTCTCTCTCTCTCTCTCTCTCTCTCTCTGTCTGTCTCTCTTTATTTATAAATCCAGTCTGCAGCCTTCTTCCCTCAACTCCTCGTTTTTCTTACTGAGGTATTTCTTGGGATTTTGAATAATTCAGATGCATTTCC